ACAACAATTTCGGCTGACTGACTCGATTTCCTTACACGGCAGTGAATCGATCTGAATCCAATAAAACGCGACCGCGTGTGTGATCAAAAGTGACTAATTTTAATACGAACCACCACCGAAATTTCCACCCCGACGTGCAATGCATTTCTCAAGGAAAATTCGATAGCATTGGATGCATTTCGATCGCCGGTGTTTTGAAAAACGGAGATTGATGTACGTGTAAAATCAAAGGCCGCGGGGTTTTATTTTAATTTATAGTTTTTTTTTTTTTTGAAATTTTTGTTTTTTGAGTTTTTACTTTTAAACGGAGTGAAATGAGTGAAAAAGACAGGGTCGTCGCCTATATACATTGATCATGGATTAAAAAACCTAATAGGACGAGCTGACAACACATATCCACTAATAGCGGTGAGGTTAAATTCTATTATTTCATTTAATCATATGTGTTTTATTCATTGCATGTGTGTTCGTGACTTTGTCATATGATGAGGTAATACGTGCTGTTTGAAGAACTTACGATAAAATTAGATTCGTCTTTATCTAACATCTACACAAATTCATAGTCTTTCTCGCTTGCCGAGGCGCATGCTTTTTGAATACTATTAATAAAACTAGATGTGTGTCTTTTACGTAGAATACACTTTTTTTTAAAAAAAATCATAGTTTTTTTGTAGATATTTTTAATCACTTTTTTTAACTATTTTACAATATTCATTTTATTGCCGATCATTATTGTTTATTACTAACATAATGAGTAAATAACCTTATATCAGCACATTTATTAAATGCATACATGCTTTGTAAATTGCATATCAGAACTATTGTATTAAATTAAATATGTATAAAAATATATTCCATCATTCCTCGTGACCTGAAATTGCACAGCGTGCAAGAATGCTAGGTTATAATTATTTAAGCCATTTTCTTTATCATTTCTCTGTTAGTTTGTTTGCTCTTCAAGGATTTACACAAATCTTTGTTCTGCCAGAGTCGTAATTTGAATAAATTTTACAAAAAGACTTGTATTTTACACATGACCCACGTGTGACCCGAAATTTTCACAACGTGCAATAATGGGAGATAACATAACTACCAATTTATTCACACTATACTGTTTACTACTTTTTCATTAAGTGTTCGTTTTATTACTAGCTATAAAAAGTGCCAAGGGTGTAAGATACTAAGTATTCTATTTTGTTCAAATTTGCATTGTAATATGTGCTAATTCTATCTGTTTACTATTTGTGATTTATTCAAAATTTCTGGAAATAAATTTTGTTAATATAATTTAGGAAGATTTAGTATGCCCCGAGAATCAAGTTTTTAGAGCGCACCATTATTTTCATAAGTATTTTCTGGATGCATGAAAGCATCAAAACTGGTTATTTTGTAACTATTTTTTTCCTGGTCACAAGACCAATTGTGACAAAAATTACATTTGTCGTAAAGATCTATAATTTAAATATATTTGCCTCATTTGTCATTTACGTTGATACCCAAACATTTTTATCTTACTTCATCACAAATCTAAGAGCAACCATATATTTTCGCTATATTTATATATAGTAAAAATCCTTAATATTGATTTTGTTCGAAGCCGAAATATATTCAGGATGAAACAATTTTTCTTACAATGCTGCTATATCGGGCTATTACTAATTTAATTTTATTTATAATTCAGCAATGATTTCAGAATTACACGACTAATAGCATAAATCATAAAATATTGCTATAAAATATTATTATATGTTCTAAAATTATAGTAAGTTTGTGAAGCGAAACTGTGCTATTATTTTATAGATTTGTTTTATTCTTAAAACGTTTGTTTCACTGCCAAAGCAATAAAGGTATGAATATGAATAATTCAAATTAGAACTACCTCCGATTTAAAATAAAAGCATATTTTCTTACTCTACTCAGATTTAAATAAAGCATATTTTCTTAATTATAATCCACCAATAAGATTTAGCTTTTGCACATATTCAACAGATGTACTTACTGTTATTTAACTTTGTTCAATATGATAAAATATATGGAAAGACTTATTTTTATACATTATCGATTTAACAGAATTCTTTCTAATACGACGTCAACCTTTAAGACTTATCGACGTGTCTGTTGAAGAATATTTATATAGAGCAAAGATGTTAGACAGTTTAATGGGGTTAAAGGTTATTCATGTACATTTTTATTAAAATTGCCTTGGCAATATG